CATTGTCCGAAGTTGTTACAAATTGAAATGTTACATTTCAAAGAGCTCTACAGGAGCGTAAACAAGATCTACAAAGGATTCTACAAACAAAAATGTTATAATAAAATATATATTTTATCGCTGAAGAATTAAATAAATATTTCGATATGAATATAACTAATATGTAACTTTTCTGAAAGAAAAAAAAACTATATAAAGACAATAATTATTTTTTTTTTTATGGAGAACAAAAAAGCATAGGGGTTACTGTGATGGAAAGTGAAATAGCCATTTTACATCTAAACAAGATGTTTCGAAATAATTACAAATTCATTAGAAACATATAAGACCCGGTGGGTGTCGCCTGCGACCCTGCGACCCTTTCATTATTAGAAATACCTACACTGATACAAGTGAACCAACAAGAACAACAAAAATTGTATTAAAAAAATAAAATAATATTTGCCTTGGTATTGAATAACTAAGAAAAAAAATTCGAAGACATAGAAATTCAGAAAATACGGATTTAAAATAAAAATACTAATACTGAAATCGTTATCCTAATTGAAAATTATAATTACAAAATCAAAACAACAATTGAAACAGTTAAATCCATCCCACAATACTCCGATAATCTTAAAACGTCCAGAGTTATTGCAGTCAGCTGTGCTCGACCCACTTTGAAGACAATAGCGGTTTCGAATCACGTCCTAATTAGAAATTATCCGTGCGAACACCGTCGTAACTACCTCAATGTTTGGTCAAATACTGAAAAGTCACTAATTAATTGCTTTAACCTTGAATGAATAGACCTTCAATGTCTACCAAGTCTACAATTATTCAATTTTTATACTGTTTGTAGTTTACACATTAAAATAAATCACTTTAAAGGTATTATACATATATGTATAATACTTATTTATATTAGTAGTCATTTCTAGTTTAAATGTTCATTTTATCACAACATTTTATTTTCCATGTTGACCTTTGCTTCTTTACTGCATTTTGCTGCGACCACCATTACGACCACACTTGCTTTGCTACCGTACTCGCTCACTCACATTACTGATGGAATCCCCTCTTGTTCGTGTTTTGCGTGTTATCATCAAGCTGTAGGAGGGGATCGACATTTTTACGTGCAGGTTGGGTGGATTGACAAAAACATCACTCTATGAAATATGTATATATGTTTTGTAATGGTAGAATATATTTATAATGCAAATAAATATATCTTTTTTTATTTCTACATGCAAAGGTTGCCTGGAAGAAGTCGCCATAGACGATAAGGCCGCCTTTGCAAAAAAAAAATTTTAGTGTCTATGTTCTTATGTCTATGCTTGTGCATTAAAGAGTTTTAAATTTAATTTAATATTCAATTCGAAGTCAACATTTTAACGGATGGAAATATAAATAATAAATAGAAAATAGCTTACATTGCCGTTATAACATTCCGATGGTAAATAATATGCTAGATTTTGAAGCCTTATAGCTTATTAATTACACATATATATTAGATCGTTAGATATATCGATTAATGCAACTTGACCGATTATTATTATTTAAAAAATAATTCGCGCGAAAACTTGCTAACAATAACACAGTCGTACGTAACACATGTGTGACATTCGAAGTCGCTGTCACAACTAGGTCTGGAAGCGACAGGTGATTGGTTGTAACCTATTTACAGATTTTCGATTATTTTTAGATAACCTTATAGTGAAGAAGAATAGTAATAATTTATGCCGGTATAAATCTAGTTTATCACGCTATGAAAATATATAGCAATATAAAATATAGTTAACTAGCTGTGTCAGCGACGTCGTCCGCGTAGAGTAGTTATTTTGGGCATCCAAATTTGTTTTTGCTCTTCCTCCTTATATTTATGAATTTACTAACGGCGTCTTTCTTTTAAGAGGAATAATTCTTTCATTAATATCTTTAATCATCTAGAACCGTTTTCGCAGCGTACTGATTGGAAACCCTATAAGATGAATAATTTTCCCATTTTTTCCACATTTCCCGCTGTTTCTTCGCTGCTATTGGTAACATCACAATGTGTTATAGCATATACTTGTAATTTAACTGGCTAGTGCCGTTTTCATTGTTTATAATAAATAAATAAAGAATTTCTCGATAAATGGTCTAACCAACACTAAATTCAAATTTTTCAATTTGAAGCAGTAGTTCCTGAGATTAGCGCGTTCAAACAAACAAACTCTTCAGCTTTATATATTAGTATAGATAGGTGATTGTTACAGCAAATTAGTTTATCTTTTGTCTCTCAACATTAACAGACCGATAAAGTTTGGTGAGAACAATCGAATCTAAAAATAAAAAATACTTAAGAGCAGGCAGCTGCCAGCAATATATTACTTGGACAATAAAATCTTGAACCACGAATTGTCTAGAAGGCAATTAATTAGAGGCTAACGAAGTTTTACTTTTAGTTTTCGTTCGGGCTATAGCTAATTTAAAAGAAAAAATGTAATTACGAAATCTTGGAATAAATAATAGGTTTTCGATTTTATGCTCTTCCTAACTAAGGGCGATATTTAATTGTTACATCTCGCAAAAGAGGTACAACATTCGTGGTACAATTAAAATTTAAAAATACAAAAATGTCAATAGGGAGGACGGCTTCAAGTTATCAAACACCTGGGATTCCGTATTAAAAACTCGAAAGCGAAGACACCGTTAATCAATTCTGCAAGGGCCCGGCCAGTTTTGCCAAATACCAACGTCGACGGAACAGATGGCGCTAGCGCAGCAGTTTTTTAATTTGACGTCAAAGACAAAATCCTCCATCTTCAGTCTCCACGACCACGGCTGTTGCTAAGCATCCGAAACGTCGGATCGCAGTTAAAATATATATTTTTAAATAAGTTTAACTAATATACATCGCGTTTTAAATCGTTGAAGTGTTTTATATAAATTTGTTTTTAATTGTAATCGATTAGTTCGAGGAAAATGTCAACACCACCTAATTACATTTTCATAAGTAATTGAGTAGCTCACCACAAAATTCCACTATCTTAATCGGATGATGGCGAAGATGATTACCTGAAATAGAAATGACTTAATTAAGAAAGGCACTATTATTGATTAAGCTAGCTTCGTTGGGTTAAACCATGTACCTTATATTAAAACATTTCTATAAGAAAACCTCTTTTATGATTAAAGCATTCTATAAAAGAACAATCTTTTTCTATATTTGGAGAAATCACAACAAAGTCGGTTGTGTCTTAAAAAAGCGTAAAGACAACGAACGTAAAGAGAAAGAAACTCTTTTAAAACGCGTTTAAAACGCGAAACATATAAGTTAACTTAAAAATAAGTCAACTAATATATTTCACATTTTAAACCGTCAAAAGTGTTTTATTCAAATGTGTTCTACTCGCGTAAACTACTCACAATTTCGAAGGAATTACTTGTGTTTAAGTCCTTGGTACTATAGTTAATACTGACAAGATGATTTAATTAGGTACATTGTAGCAAAGATCTTCATCACTTCTTTAAAAGTAATAAAGACCGATATAGTTTAGGATCACAAAACAAATGACAACACACATCGAGTGACATCGATGACGTTCGATGACGCCTCTTCATTAGCACGACGCCTTCTCCGCCAAGAAGCTTGCTGTTCGATTGGTCAGTTCTAGTACAATACGACGCCTACTCTTTAGTCGTCACAAAGCTACTGTTGTCTGCCATTTGACTATGGCACCACGCCAACCATTTGTTAGGACGGTGTAAGTCGCAATGAACATTTGTTGAGGAGTCACCGACAAGATTACAAGCGACGTCAAAAACTTAATTTATTTGCGTCACAAAAACCTATATGCATATCAATAATATGTAAATAAAAATATGTCAATATTTTAAGATTAACTTACAAAAACGACGGAACGTGGAGGACATCGTTGGTAACAGCTGTAATTTATAAAGTTGAGAAGGTTTGCAAAAACAAATCGGACGAAGTCGCTAACAAAGCTTGTATCTTATATAAATAACTCTAGCGTCTAGCTAGATTTAAAATGGTTTACTGTAGAAATAATTCATAAAAACATAGAGTCAGTAAACAATTGGGGTAAAACGTTTCCAGCACTTTCCAATAGTCTAACTGCCATCGCAATATGGCAAAGCTGTCAGAGATATTGTTTGAAGTGGTTGTGTCGCCATAGAGGGAAACACAACATCGTCATATTTGAAAAAAAAAACTTGATTTAAACCCTAAAATAGATATAAAAGTAATACGTAAGGTACAATGATTTTGAAATAAAACAAATGCCTACACATCTGTGTGTCGTCATTACGTTCCTTATAAGTTAAGAATTGAGAATTCTCAAACTTTCTGTTAAAGAAAGGCCAAAGGATTCATCTGATGAAAAGTATGACCTATTTAGACTTTGAAAATCCACTATTAGAAGCGGGTACACGTATTTACACCTCACAGATTTTTATCTCCGACGGTATTTCGTTATTCCTACCAACAATTTATATTTATTTACAAAACAAAGTTCTACATGTGTTTTATTAATAATTTATTATTTATATTAATTTATTATTATTTTTTAAAAACAGGAATCAAATCCAGGATCAAATATAGTGCCTACTACACCAACGAGCGTTTTCATTATTTTGTTCTTCGATCTTAATACTATTAATATTATAGAGTTCAAGATGATTTCTTCCTAAAAAAATATCCGCAACAAAAAAATATGTCTATCTTTTAAGATTAACTCGCAAGAACGCCGAGGAGCGTACACACGTGGTTAACAGCTTTAATTTGTAAACCTGAGGACGTTGTTTGCAAATATAAATAATACGATACCAAAATAACTATTTCACACGGACGTAGTCGGGAGCACTACTATAGTGCAAAAATAAAATGGCAAACATATCCTACGAATAAGGTTGCTACGACCTTCTCAATCAAATGATACGTATATTTTTTTCGTAACGTATTAAAGAACAAATACCCTTCACCTGTGTTTGGTAACACCGTCTGACAATGGTCTATAATGCGTCTGCGCATTGCCAGACGATGCAAACGCCACTACGTCACACCCTGGCACTCATCCAGGCCACCACCTGCGCTTGGAGTTATGTACCAGACGACAAGTACAACGGGAAACGTCTACCATTGCTGGCGTATGGGGATTCACTTGAGTGATCTTACACGTGTTTGGCACAGAATACAGAACACAGCAGAAGGCCTGTTCGATAATGTTTGAACTCAAAAGTTTTTATTTAGATTAAGCTACATTAACAATACATACAATATTAAATCTATCATAGATAGACTGAAAGTATTTAACATTCTTATGTTCCAATGATGTTTCATTGGATGTGCGCTGAAACAAATCACAAGTAGCTTGCATACACAAAATACTAAATAATGATAGGTACACTTATGAACGATACAACAATGAAAACTGTAGAGTCAATGTGACTGTGTAAATAGTACATTTTTGACATATTATATTAGTTAACTTTCTGCAAAGTATCCAAAACGCCGTAGTCAAAATATATATTTTTTTATTAAAGTTAACTAATTTTGTGATTGTTGTGATGACGTTTAAAGTACTCGCGTAAACTACAGACTATAAATAAACTGTATATACCGGCTACTGCTTTGCTCGCGTAATATACGACACGCACCGTTGCTTCACTAACATGGGATATATATATAAATGACGACTACAAGTTTGACAAGTTTGAAGAAGACTACAAATTGTTCGCCAGGCAGCGTTGTTTCACAGTAGTCGTGACGGCCTTACTTTTGAGTTTCTGTTTTATTCTGTATTCTGTGGCGTTAAAACCCAAATATCTATTACTTGGAAGTTAGTCCTGCAAGATAGGATTCGTTGTACGTTTTTAGTCAGAACTGTAAGCATTACATGAAGATATTAAAGCGTGGATTCTAGGAAAATGTTGCGGTATGGCCCGATTCTTGTTGATTTATGCTATCTGCTTCATTGGGTTTGGAGTCATGGAACCTTTCTGTGAATTTTATTATTAGTATTCTCTGCAATATATCTAGAAGGATATGAAACTACTGTCTAAAATACCTTCACTCAAAATCTAAGTCAAAAATTAAATTGTTTACATTATCTAAATTTTGACCGGCTCATAAGACTAACGGTAGCAATAATTGCCTAATAATCTATGAGTCGTGGTTCAATCCTCAAATGAAACGTGGTATAACGTGTTCCTATTCATTTTTTTTATATACTTATTTTGGAAACTAAATGGGTGATAGGAATATCGATATTCCGTCCAGGTCACAAAACGGCATCCACAGATTAAAAAGCCGAATATCCAAAGCCAACATAACAGCACAACATTAACTTGGGGTCACGTCCATCAAGTGAAAACAAGTTACTCTATGCTCATCTACCATAAAAATATAGGCCTTATTTTGGAGGTAATAGAAGGTTCATCGCATGTATGAAAAGTTAATTTAGCGCATAATAGGCGCACTGTGGCATATAAACTGTTCAATTACTGATCATATTTAATAACAATTCAGAGTTCACTAAAAAGAACTTTTGGGTAAAGATATAAAAAGTGACTATCACGAAGCGTACTGCGTAACAACTTTCTTCGCGCTTCAAAGATTAAGATTAAAAAGCTATTGACCCACATAAAAAGTTGGCCGAAGTGGCACCTCCGTCAAAGCAGCGACTCGCAACATAAGATGATAAGGATATTATGAAAACAGGTCACGTCCGCGACGTGACGTCACATTTCTTGGTTAATATCGTGTGAGTATATTAGTGTAGCTTTCATGCTATTTTTATTACGAGATGAGGGTAGTTATCTCTTTTTTAATGAATAGACAAGCACGTGGTTCACTTGATGGTAGGCGATATATCCCAGCTATACAACCTCTACACAAGATACGCTGTCGATCTATTTTGGATTTGGATATTCGGAAATCCAAGGACGGCTTTTTAATCTGTGGATGGTGGTTCGTGGAGCGGACGGAATTTGATATTTCTACCACCTATATGGTATCCAGATTTCCAGGCGAAGACAAATTGAATTAATTGAAAAATTAGTAACATGTTGGACCCCGTGGGGACCAAACCCATGATCGATTCGATCATACATTCGCCATACAATAAACCAACGAAGCGATCAAATGCTTATACTTATATATTATTATCATAAAGTAAGGAGCACAAGTTTAACGGTTTTAAAAATAAAATATAAAATTAACCACTCGCGTGCTCCAGACAATGTTTAAAGTAATATTACATCACAAGTATATAAAAAGTATGTTTTTACTAACAAGATGGAATATTTAGGAAAAAGCGTTTTTGTGGAATCAAAAATTATATGTTAACAAATAAAACCGAACTGTAAATAAATTTTACAATTTAATAATAGAGGTGAATATTTTGGGGCGCTTTTAAAACGCATATTTCCATGACAATAGTCGCAGCATCACTGTCACTTCAACAAAGAATTTCCGTCAGATTTCGCGAGACTTAAATATATTACCCGTATTTATTGTGGCGTTTTATCAAATCATTCGTTATAAAGATGGTTTTAATGGTGACGACCCGTAGTTATGCACACGACCGCAGAAAAGCTTTTATAATATTTCGATTACATAAAATTTACTCATAAATACTTGTACAGTATTATTTTAAAATAATATACGATAAATAAATTTATTATGCGATCTTCCGAAGGTAATAAGGTAAGTATTTAAAGAAAAATCGTTGTTTATTTATATTTAGATTTATACGGAGGGAGGAGGGGGATCAACTTAAAAATTCTATTAATTATCAAAATCTAAGTCAAACAGCTGTCTACTATAAGTATTAAGTAGTCTTTTGTTTTTAACGTCAAAGCAGTTAAAAACATAAGACTAATTTTACATTCACTGTTTGTTCCTCGAACAAACGAGAAAACGAGAAGAAAGGGCAAGATACTCTTACTACTCTACTCTACTTATTATTTTAACGAAACCAAATATAGAAATAACAAATGTTGAAAAAAAAATACGACACGGGCGGGACTTGAATTGGCATTCAGACATTCTGTTCGGCTCTCAAATATAATCATAGGATATTTTAAATATCGTCGGATCTTCCAATATTAACCCTGCTTTCCCTGTTTAATTTCCATCCTTCAACGTCCATGTAGCGAGGGTACCTGCATTCAAGCTATTGTCTTTCGGAGGCCTGGCGGTCTTTTGTTTTCACATTTTAATATTTGCGTCCCCAAAGTAATCCGCGATAATTGATGTTTAGAAATGCTTCTATACTTTTAATTACACTTTCGGGAGGGAAGCATTTTCGTAAATAATACACCTGTAAAATGCCCTTACAATCTATTTATTGCGAAAGAATTATTAGTTATTTTTGTAATAAGTATTTTGTAAGGCACATAATTTTAGCCTTTTTTAAGATGGCAGAGCAGAGTTCTAAATCGGATCTATAGTCATGGGTTTGGATCCCTTTGGATCCCGTCGGTGTATTGAAATTAGTTCTATCAATTCAATATCGATAATAATATTGTTTTATTTAAGGTGCAGAGAATATATTAACACTTTCTATTTAATTTTATGTATGCATAATGTAAAATTTAAACATACGTATGTTTTCGTAAGAAATATACACAGTTACACGAGACAATGTAATCGTCATAAAATCCGTTTTTAACAAACTACGGAGTCTTAAGAAAAGTTGGTATTTCCTTTTATAGACATTTTATCACAGAGCGAATATCACGATAAAATTAACTTATATATTTTTTAATTTTTTTACTGTTTTAACGGTTTGAAACGATAAGTATATCTGTTTTATTTAAATATGTACCTTTCGTTTAAGATACCAACAATGTCTTCTTTAAGAATTGTTTGTATTTTACGCGTGTAGTAAGTATTAAAAAAAATACTTTAACTGTTTAAAACGCGGAATATATTCGTTTACTTGTTTGAATTTACATAAACTACAGCCCGACGTGTTAAAACCTTTGCAGCAGACGTGGTTACGGGGAAAATAAGTTTAGTGATTTCGCGTTTTAAACCGCTTAAAGTGTTTTATTTATATCTTCGCAATTGTTCTTTTATATCGAATCTTTATAAACATAAAATACATAGATTTATAATAAGTCAATGTGTTGATAACAAGTATCGAATCAACATTAAAACACTTTTTGACCTACTTACAGGAACAACCACTCAAGATAATAAAGCACCAGTAGGGAGGACGTATAAAATAAATTCTTATTCATCTCTATCCCTTACGATCGAAATCGGCCCTTTTCCCTAACAAGAAATCCCTAATAAATTGAAATCTTATTATCATGAAACGTACACCTGCCTTCAAACATTCTTGTTTGCTGAAACTACGTTTGGCCAAACTGCTACAAGTTGTATAACAAAATGTTTCCAAACTAAACTCGACGCTGTTGGACCTTTGGAATGTTGCCGTGCTTGGGGGATAATTCACAACTAAACAATATAACAATTATGTGGACAAGTCGGAAAATATGTCAAATTTGAAAGTATAAAAATCCAATGTGAACGATTTAATTAGCCTTCATAATCAAAAAAAAAAAAATCAAAAGACCAGTAATAAATAAAAAACTTCAAAAAAAGGAGGATTTTAATTCAATTCGTATGACTGCTTTTTATGTTTGTTATTGCATAACTTCGAGTTTATATATCCATTTTGTTATACTTCTTGTTGGAAAGTATAGTGATTTACGCAGGCCAGAGAAATCGAGAGAAACATGTAGAAATCATTGGAACGTCCAGTGCCTTTTCCAATGCTAAAGGATTTGTATCTCCCAGTGACACTCCATACGACATAATAAATTTAAACAAACCATTTTTAATGGTGTATAACGCGAAATATATTAGGTCACTTAATTTAAATTTTCATTATTTCTCACATCCCCCGTGACCACGTCTTTTACGTCGGGCTGTAGTTAAAATGAATTGTAAATAAATTAACTAATGTAATTGAATTTTAAGCCGTTTAAAGTGTTTTGTTTAAATGTCTTCTACTCGCGTAAGCTGAAACACACGTCAATCAGTGACGTAATTCTGTCGATTCGTAATTATAAGCTAAATTATAAATTGATTTTAGATTCCAAAAATTACCACACACGCGGGATTTTAACAACAGATTGAAACACGCATGACTCGATTTTTAATTTATATAGAGCCACCATGTGCAATAACATGTGAAAAATATTATTAGTTTTTAAA